ATTTTATATGGTCGGTATTGAAAAGTCAATTTTTAATTTTACACAAAATGCGATATCTGCCGTGTTATTCTGTCACGTTTTCTCCCTATCTTTCCAAACCGCGACAAACGCCAGTATCCCTTCTCCGCAGAATGCGATACATCCGCTCAACCAATCATAGTGCCAATCAACCCATCATTCCACGCATTGTAAACAGTAACTGACAAGCTACGCAATATCACGTTCATAATCGCTGATGAATCACCTTCGATTATGAATGAGATATTGCGTAGCTTGTCAGTTACTGTTTACAATGTCCATCTGAAAGCACGTGATGGAGATTTACTACTAATCACAGAACCGGCTTTACTGACGAGATGCGCATGACAATCGCATTGATGAACCTGTGGTGGTTTCTGCGGTGGGAATCATAATCAGTGGGAATCAGAATCATAAGCTATTAATAAGATTAGTATTGACCAAGTTCAGAGTGTCATATGTGGATCAACTTTGTTGTGAATTTTTAACAGTTTCAATATGAAAAATAACTTTTATATTGATTCAATGGATTTATTGCATTTTGGGAAAAACCCGAAGACTCGAGAGATGAACTAATCAATTCTCTTTCCGGCTCAGACTGCATTGGTAAAGCTTGTGGGGCTGTCACGTGATGAACGAATGACTCAAACCCGAAGACTGGAAACAGGTGAACTACTTGACTAATTCCAGTACAGAACCTATAAGACCTCATGCGCGACTGAACGAATCACTCTCCGAGAGGACTCGTTCTTCCCAAGTCATTAAAGATTCGTTAAAAATGAACGAATCGTTCAAGAACGACCCATCACTAGTGTCCCGTTGCGTTGCATCGCGCCGCATAAACATAAAACCATGTCTGCATTTGTGATCGGAGAAAAATAAGTTACGCCTTCTTTCTTTGTGTGAACATTTGGGTGGTGTTATGCAAATCTTCCCACATCGTGACGTAGACATGTGGGGGCGTGTTTGAACTAGGAGTTTTAGGAGGGCATGGACGAGTCTTAACTTTTATAAAGAATATCTCTTTGGGTTTGAGACTTTAGTCTTTGCAACTTTAGGGATCTTATCTATTCACGAACAGCTTATAACACTCCAAAGAGAAAGGAAAACTTGAAATCACATCATATGACCCCTTAAACAGTTTAATTCAAATGGATGGAAATTTTATATGCAATTCAAATACTTAAATTTAGGCCCAAATATTTGTTTTAATAGGTGAACAGTTTTGACAATGAAAATTCAATGTATCACTTACAAAATCAATTATAATTGCTTTTTGACCAAAAAGTGTTCATTCTAATGAATGTTAAACCTACTATATTTGTCAATAGGATATATCATTAAGGTGTAATTTATCCTTCTAGTTTCAATTGTCTTGAGTATGGTTTGAAAATAATTCTAATCACACCAAGCCAAACCACACAGAAACTGTTTAATACATTAAAGCCAGACTTAAGCCTGCATTGACCCAGCTAATATCAATGCATACAGTTATCATTGCTGTGTAAATGGATTCATGTCACCTCTGAGCACCATTAACCAGTCTTTATAAAGACACCTAAATGCCACTTCAGAAGCGCCTCTGAGCCACCTCTGCAGTGTAATTTTTGCAAAACACTGAGATGTTATGTAAATATAATTGACAAACCTGACACTGCCTGCTGTCTTGCATGCTCCTGATAGACTGAAACAGTCTCTCGCAGAGGGTGGGTATCAGGCCTTTGTTAGGACCATAACCGACCATAGATTAACTCTTCCCAGAGCCAGTCTGACCATATGCCAGTAATGTGGCATTGTAGCCCTGCAGTGCATTATCAAGGATGCCCTGCCCCAAATCCAGAAACACACTCGCCTGATAATGACCACAGGGAACAAAGGGATTGAACCAAATAGAAACTGTTAGTTCAGCTGCTATTAGTTAATCAGACTCCACAAAACCAATGACACCATCACAATAAATATAGCAGCAATTGTAGTCTGATACAAGATTTTAAAAAGCACATTGCTTTTGCAACCTTTGTAAGCATGAACAAAGATGCATACTCTTATGCAAGGTGAGATATCCTCTATATAACCTGATATCTGTTACCTGGTCAGCGTAGCGCCCACCTGTCTCCTCAGGTACAAACAGACCATCTTTGTTCCTACTGAAGCCACTGTGAGACCTATAGTCAAAAGAGAAAATGCGGTTGTTCTGCAGGTTACGAGGGTCTTGAATACTGATATTGTTGGAGGTCATTGAGATAATGCAGCGACTGCCTGCATCCCACTCCCTCTGTATAAGAAAAAGCTTTAAAGTCTCAAAGCTATGGTTCAATCTCATGCTCAACTTGTTGAAGCGGACTTCCAAATAAAGTGCTACAAATGAACCTAAATACATATTCAATCACAAGTCTCAATCACAGATCGTACTAAACTTATTGAAGAGTCTGACCCCGGACTGCCACTTTCACACAGTCCTTGCTGGCCATTTCCATTCCCCTCGCCCTCATGCTCACGTGGATACACTGGACACAGAAAGAGTGACGGAGTGACAGGCTGAAACCTGAGCACTTTTGTTACGCTTACTTTCTACCAAAGACCAGCATGATGAATAATACAGTAGCCTTGGCTTCATTAAAGATCACTTCCACGGTCTCCATGCTGTAATAATGGAGGTAAATGCTAGGATGAAGTGCTCTTTTCTCGTTTAGGTCATTATGGCAGCTTTTTAGATGAACAATTACTTGTCCAAGTATTCAACAGCTGTTTATACAATTGCTGGTTATCAGTAGCAATTGCTAAAGCAAACATACCCGTTACTGCTATTGCACATACTTAAGAGTTACAGTTTTGACTTGGGCTGGTAAATATTGTAGAACACCATTGCGACCATTCCAAGTAGTATTATAAAAGCAATGCACATATATTGCATTTTGGTTACAGTCATTTTACGTTTTTGCAGGAAAACAATTGCGGTAAATTGGTCGAACCAGTACCTCTGTGAAGAACTACAATACATCAAAGATTGTAAACTCGTGTTCTGTATTTGAAAGCAAACAGGCATTACAAATAAGTTTACAATGCTGTTCAAAATAAAACTGATGCATTTGAAGGAAAATAAATGTACATTATTATCTGCAATGAACAAATAATGCCGTGTTCTCCAGCTTAAGACCTCAAGATAGAGGAGACCAAGTGCCAAGCATCAAAGCAAGAAAGTCCATCCATGCAATATGAATGATTTTATTACACTTTCAACCAGTGTAAAGTATCCACCTATATGAATTGTCTCCCAAGTGGTACAACCATAAACCTTATAATCGTTTGATCTGACTTTACATGTTGCAAAATCTTTCCTGTAAACAAAACAAGTAACAAAATAATTCACAAGTATCAAATTGTATTTATAACATACCTAAAAGGCTATTTACATTGGCATCAATTAGTAGAAACACATTTAAAAACTAAACTTTTCTTTTTTGGTGCTCAAGTCCCTCAGTGCTCCTTACAGTAAACAACATAATTTATTCTAAAAAATGATTTATCCCAAATTAGATGTTTATTTATTCCAAACATTATCCACTGATCATTTTAATTAGAAAACAGCAGGTTGCAGAGCTCTTATGAAACAAGGAGAGCAGAAAAGAGAAATCAAATTGGGAAACAAGTCCAAATTAAACAATTCACAATCAAAGCTTCTTCCTCCTCGTTACAGGTTTAGGAAAAATGGCATCCATCATGCGTTTGCGGCGTAGGTTCATCCTCAGGGAAGGGGTTTCCTTTTCTTCTGTTCTCTTTTCGGTTCTGGCGATCGGTTCAGCCGGACTGGCGAGGGGAGAGAGGAAACTGATCTCAACAGGAGGTGGAGGTTCTGGAGCAGCTTTTGTTCTGTTAAAAAGACGACAGAAAATTAGGGTAAGATAATCAGGCAAGGTAATGCACAACCAACACATTATTCAATTGCGAATCTTGTAGTTATAGCTCGTCAACGCAAAAACCTGCTTTAATTACAACCATGCATGTAAGCTACTTCTTATATTACAATATCAATAGAACTACGTGCGACATGGGCAATTCACCTGGTTGTCCTCTTCTTTCTGGGCTTGACAACCTCAGTTTCAACTGCAACATCATCTAGAGGGCCATTGTCCTACAACAAAAGGAAGAATTTATGAAGTTTAAAGTGTGATGGAGCACAAATCAAAACTGCGTTGGTACTCAAACTTTAGAAAGGTCTGCTTACCTCTTTGGATTGAGAATCACCTTCACCTCCTGAGCTATGGGTTTGAGGCACAGAAGATGACAACAAAACCTCTGGAACTTCAACTTCATTTCGCACAACAGTTTCTTTTCTCTGTCCTAAAATGAAAGGATTGCAGATAAAATGGATTGTAGGCATATTAAAGTGTTATAAAATACTGCAAATTGTGGCATTACAATATAGACTACCTCTTGTTCTTTTCAAATCAGCTACAGGAGTAACTGAATCGTCGACAGCCGTAGAGTTTTGTTCTGCTACCTTGCTCGCTCGTGTACGTCTAGCACTTGCAAGTGACTTGCTTGCATGTTCCTGTATTTCATCGGACACCATCAATTTTGATTCTTCAATGTCTGCCATTTGAGTTTCATTCTGTAAAGGAGGTGCTGCAGATCTAGTAGGTCTTCTCTTGGCACGTATAATTTCAGTTACAACAGGAACAGTCTCCTCCCTGGCTTCTTCATCTTTGAGACGCTCTACAAGGGCATCAGCTTGGGGAGCTTCAGTCTCCACTTTCAAAGGAGTCAAATCGGGTCTTTCTTTATCAAGATCCTCGCCTTTATTCCAGTGCCGGCTTCTCGTAAGTCTTCTTGAAACACTCTGAAGTTGTGCATCATCAATAATAAAGGTTGCATTGTTCACTTTTTCTGCAGTGCTGGCTACGGTCTTTCTCCTGCTTCTTGGAGGAGTTCTAAGAGGTTGATTTAGGGTTGTGGCTTCTTCTGCAGGATCTTGTTGGAAACTTTCTAATGCTAGTCCTCTGGTAGACTTGCGTGTAACCCTACTAGGACTACTACATGCTTTGGCAGGCTGTATCGTCTCCTCTGGGACTTCTTGATGAGCTTCTGGAACTTCAACACTTGGTGCTTGGGATTTTCTGGTACGGTGCCTGGCCTGTGTTTCTGAGTCATCACTGGGAACAGGATCAGTGGACAGGGCCTCATCATCATCATCAACCACTGTGCTCCTGGTTCGTCGAGATCCTTTCCTAGGTGTTGCTTTCTGTGGGGTCTTTCGTGCCGGACTTGCAGGCATTGATACTTTCTCAGAAGGCATGTCTTGGTCGTTCTCATTAGAACGCTGTTCTGCATCTGCTTTTCTTGTGCTTCTTCTGGGTGTAACAGGAACCTGATAGTCTTGGAGCTGTTTGCCACTCCTTGTAATGCGTCTTGGTGTTGAAGGTACTTGAGAATCCATTTGTTCCTCTTCAGTAAGATCCTTCTCTCCATCAAGGATAGGTACAGGGAATGTTACTGTTTTCCTAGTTCTCCGTGATGGGCTGTGCTGAACCTCTTTAATGTTCTCCAGAACTTCCTCACTATCTTTTCCAGATCTTTCAACTTTTGTTCTTGCAGGTGACTTGGGTCTTCCTGGTGACTTTGGCCTTCCTGGTGACTTTGGCCTTCCTGGTGACTTAGGCCTTCCTATTTGTTTGGTTGTGGAAAGTTCCTCCACTTCTCCAGCCAATAAGAGTGTAGTGTCTATTTGGTTAGACTCAGTTATATTACCTTTTGCAGCGGTTGACACCTCCGTGTCCAATGTAGCAACTTCATTGACTTTCCATAAAAGTTCTTCTGAAGGCAAGACTTTCTCTGGCAGAGAAGACTCCAACACTTCCCCATGAAGAGGAGTATGTGATTCTTCCTGCATCTCACAAGGACCAGATTCTAGCCCATCACCATTGGAAAGATCTTTTGTTTCTTGAAGAGAAGGTTCTGCTTCTGGAGTGACTATTTGTTCCACCATCTGGAGGACCTCAGCTGGTTGGTCTTCAGTTTTAGGAGCACCCATGACAACAGGTTCAATGTCTGATACCAAGTCTTTTATGTCTTCCAATCTGTTATCTGGAACTTGAACCGTATGCTCCAAGATGACAACCTCAGAGTTAGTTGCGAGCTGATTCTCCACATCCTGAGGTTCTTCTGGTTCATGTAGAGGTAGCAATGCTGCATTGTGGTCCAACTCTGAAGCATCAGGCAGTTCATCTACATCTGGATCAAGCATGAGCGTGAAGCCATCTGACTCTTCTGGCATTGTTCCATCTGGTGCACTGCTGAGGGTCTGTAAAGTTCCTCCATCTACAAGATGTGTATGCTGCTCCTCAGCCAGCTCTACAGGTACCAGGAGAGTGGTGGATGGCCTAAGCTCCGTATAACACATTGCATCTTCCTCATCTAGATCTGCAGGGCCAAGGCCAACCATTACAACTTCACCTTCTTCCTCTAGGATGTCAGTGTCTTGAATCTGCAGAGCAAAAAAAAACAAAAACAATGAGAGAATAAGTCCAATAAGTCACAGTGTTTTAACATCAAAATAAGATTTAAGTAATGCACTTACTTTCAGCTGTGCCTCAGGTGTAACCAGTGACAGCACAGCATTGGTTTGTTCCTGGAGGTACTGCTCATGCGGTGGGAGTTCCTCCATGTAAAAGGCAGGAGCAGGCTGGTGGTTACTGCTGCCATTACCCTTTACTTCATCTATAATCTCAACCTCACTACCTGAGTCCTCCACCTTCTCATCTTCAGACTCTACTTCATCCTCTAACTCCTCTGAAGATTCAGCACTGGAGAGCTCATCAGTGTCATTCAAGCTCACTACAGCTATAGGAAGAATCCTGAGGTTAGTTTTGGATCATTACCATGTTGTTTAACTTTAACTATAATATTAAACCTGAGAGGGACTTACATCTGGACTCTGAGGTAGCAGGTTCTGATGTCTGTGATTTCAGATCTGCAGCATTCTCAGAAGTGGGCTGAACTTCCTTAATGCCACTACCAGGTTCACTATAGGGTGTAGACAGCACCAACAAAAGTAAAAAAAGGTAAAATGACTGGACATGAGAAACATACATAAAGCAGCACCCAGAAAGCATGATGGGCAAGTCATTAACAAGCACCTTTTGAGTGATTCCTCCCTAATACTGGACCGGGTTAAAGTTGGAGACAGATCTGGGCCAAACAAATGCTGTTCCACAAAGGCATCCAAATCTAAAATATAAATCCATTTTAGAAATTAATTTCCTACCAGTGCAATTATCAGTCATAAAACAACAGTTTTAAAGTTTGGGGTCAGAATTTTTTTTTTAATGTTTTTGAAAGTCTCTTATGTTCACAAAGGCTGCAATTATTTGTAAATAAATAAATACAGCAATATTGTGAAATATTATTACAATTGAAATTAACCGTTTTCTGTTTTAATACATTTTAAAATGCAATTTTTCATGTAATGGCAAAGCTGGATTTTCAGCCATCAATATGCTGATGGTGCTCAAGAAACATTTCTTTTTATTATCAATGTTGAAAAAAGTTGTGCTGACTAATATTTTTATAGAAACAGATACATTTTTTCAGGATTCTTGATGAATAGAAAGTTCAAAAGAACAGCATTTATTTAAAATTGAAATTTGTGTAACATATATTTACTGTCACTTCAATTTTGATCAATTTAATGCAATTAAAAGCATTCAAGTAAAACTAAAAACTCTTACTGACCCCAAACTTTTGAAAGGTATTGTATGTCCCAAAAAAAAAAAAAAAGTACCTGAGGTTTCCATAGATTCCTCTTTACATTCTTCATTAATCTCAGGTTCACTAGTCATTTGTTCATGGTTCACCAACTCAACCGCTGGAATCTCAGATACAGAAGCCTCACAAACTAGTTGTTCTGGTACTGCCTCTGATACCTTGGTGACAGCTGGTTCATCAATAGAGTCACAAGCAGCATTTTCTTCCATAGACTTGTTCACAGGCTCTATAGTAGGAGGAAAACTGAAAGCTTCAACAAAAATGGAGGATGTGTTTTGTGAATCTTCAGATTCAGTTGGTTCCTGGATTTCCTGATGTTTAGAAATCTCAGCCAAAGATTCTAAGCTTGGTTCCTGAACTGGAACAACAAGCTCCGGCTCTGTAACTACATCCGGCTTGAGAACCTGAGCTTCTGATGTTTCCTCAAGCTCCTCCTCAGTTACTTCCCTCACACGATCGTTCTCAATATCAACATGCACCTCAAGCTTTCCTCTCCTACTTTGGGCTTCTTGTGCATATGAAGGCGTCTTTCTATGGGACGAGTCTTCCTCTGTATCTCTCTCCTGAGGTATTTTCAGGTCTACCTCAGGCAGCGTAACAGAGGGTAATTCTGCTGTTGTGTTGTCTTTTACAGGAGGCTCACATTCCTCTGAAGTGCCTGGAAGTCTTATGGTCACCTCCCGATCCACACTGCTGTTTGCCTGTGTTGCCATAAGCTCCTCAGGAGCATCATGGAACTCAAGAGTGGTATCAGACTGATTGGATACAAGACTTGCTTCTTGCCCCAGACTAGGTCGTCGCACAAGAGTGGGAAGCACTTGTTTGGACTCAGTTGCAGGGATCTCTTTGACGGAGGATCCACTCTCAGATTCTACATCAGGATTTTCTTTCTCTTCCAGCGAGGGCATGTACGTCCTCTTTAGATCTGCCTCTTCCACTTCAGCATCTGAATGTTCACTCCAGGCTGCAAAACTTGCTTTGGGAGGTGGGGAAGATCTCTTAGGTGTATTAAGCTCCCTGTTAATCGCAATCTGTAAAGAACCACAACCATATTATTAAAGCTAAAAATTATTTTTATTACTTTTCATGGAAACTCATCATTTCATTTTAGATGTAAAAAAGGCATGTTACCCCATTGTTCCAGTGGACAGAGCCCTTGGGAGCTTCCGGAGAATCAGCCTCCTCTATGAAGGTAATACGGCTCCCTTTGGAGCAGAGAGGAGGAGTGACTGATCGGCCTGGGGAGGCAGAAGGGGTGGCCACAGGAGTGGGACGTAGGCTGCTCCTCAGAATAGACTGTGGGGTGAAGGCTGAGAAAACCGGGCCTGACGCCAAAGCTCGAGCTCTCTGAAAACCAAAGAGTTCAAAATTGTGGTGGGCAATTTCCTAAAACACCCGAGGAAGTACATATAGCACATTTAAAGTCACAAATAAGTCTGTGAGCTTTTGTGAAAAGTTTCACAAACCATGCGGTCTCACCTTTACCACTTGCGGAGTATGCAGCAGACTAAGCTCAGGAGCTTTGCTGACACTCTTCGGTCCAGCCCATGAAGTAATGGACCTTGTAGGAGTGCTAGGCAAATTAGAGCTCTCTGGAGAATTCTGGGAAGATGGCTGCACAACCAAATCCAGAAGCCTGGTGACAAAGCCAGTGAGATGTTACTAGTGTCTTTTGAGACGCAAATAAAGGAACTTTCGAAACACTAAGACCAGTCTTTGACTGTTTTACCTGGACATTCTTTTGTTTAGCATGTTTATGGGAGTTCCTACAAAGGCCTCGGGTTTATTTGGAGAGGAAGGATGTAGGCTAGGCACTTGCATTTCGAACTCTTTGGGGCTGCACAGGAAATCCAACAGCAAAAAAAAAAATTTGTTCAAAATTTTAAAGAAAACATTTCACATAAAAGCTGGGAAAAACTACTTATAGTACCTTTTGAAAGAAGATGAATCGGGAGTGGTGTTCTTGCCAACCCATACTTCCTCGATCTTTGAGAAGACATTATTGATAAAGGCTGCTCTGGTCATCACATTTTCAGAGGCTGAACGTTTAGCTACAGTTGACAGAGGCTGAGGTCTTTTAACTAGGAGTGAGAAAAAAAAGCAGCAATTGGCATTTATCCTAACAACTTGTCTGAAATTCTAACACACGGACCAAGTGAGTATGACCATCATCAGTACCTTCTCTGTGAATCGTAGCAGGGTGTTGGTATGGTTTTGCTCGCTCAATGGCTAATTTCCGTTGAACCCGAGGAAGAACCTTCCCATACTGATTGAGAATGGAGTTCCTTGTGTTTGATTCTGGAAACCTCCAGTGCTTTGAAGGAACCTCTCCAAACACTCCTAAACAGGTACATTTGAGGTAAAGGTAAAAAATAAATCAGTGCTAATATACACTATTGTCCAAAGGTTTTTTTGCAAGAACTCTTCTACTCACCAAGGCTGCACTTAAGCGCTACAGAGATTTGCACACACCTGTTCTGCAAGTCCAAGGGGCAGTTTCAGCAGCTCTTTCATCAGTCCCAGCTCCTGACAGGTCTCAAAAAGAAACTTCATCATCTCCTCCATGTTCAGTTTGTTACAATGCTGTCTTAGCAAAGCCCAGGCCTCCACAATACACCTGGTCAGCCCAAAACAACCCAAGGGTAAGAGTCTAGCAACTGCAAATGAGCCCACTTTAAGCTGACATATTAATCACAATGGTACACTACAAACATACCTGTTATGAAGCAGGACAGAGAGGCACAACTTGGCTTGGTTGGTAGTGCACAGGGGAGGCTTCATCACATGCAGGTAGCGCAGGGCGATGCTGTGTTTCTGTTGGCACATCAAAGCCTGCAAGACACGCTCGTGCTGCCAGCTCCACAGAGAGTGACTGGTGGCTGGGTGCAACAGCAGCTCCAGAGAGCTCTGGGGGAGATGAAAACCATTCAATGCAAATTATTCATGAAGTATTAGTTTGTAAGTATCTCTGGCATTCATACAAAATACACTAAAAGTAGTGTTTAAACTGATATAGCTCTCATATCTGCTAGTAGATAATTTAATGTTGTCACCATTCACACCATTTATAAATTAAGCCAAAATCAAAATGTTTTTTAAAAATACTAGTGTAAGCATAAAAACATAGATTTTTTTTTTATACCTCATGATCATGATGATCTAGCAACCACAGGCCTTGTACCAGTTTCACCAGCCCAATGGGAATGGCAAACGCTGTGGGAAAAGACTCCACAGATGCCCCACTTTTATTAGGAAATGAGTACATCACATCCAGAAGCAAATAAATAACCTAAGAGCCTGAGTCAAGGAATAATCTTTACTAACAAACAACACAATATTTATGGCAAGATGTAGTAGAGTAAAGAACACCAAAAGGATACAATAGCATGTTTGGCAGATTCTTCAATGTTTTCCAGGAGGTAAATATCCAGCAAGGCCTGTACCAGGAACAGATCACAAAAAATAAAAGTAAGCGCAGTTGAGGGCAGCAACGTTGTATAAACGGATTTAACAAGTCTTGACTTACATGAAGTGAAGGGGGAGGATACTGTCCTGTTCCACCCTCGTCCCTTTTCCAAATTTCTGTAAGGCGTTCCCCACACTGACTCACCAGGCCATCAATCATGAGGCAATCTGCACACCACTTGTCCCTATTGGAAGAAAAGGTTTTTTTTGTATCTTGTTAAATACGATGTAACTTCTGGAGACATATTATAATTATATAAATGTATATTAATGTATTTTTTTTAGTAATCATGAATAAATAAAATTCATTAAACAATATAAATAATGCTAAGTAAATAAAAGCCCAATGGTCCTTCGGAAATTCAGCCACTTACTTGGCCAGTCTTCGCAGCTCCTGCCTCTGGCTGATGTAATAACTCTTTATAATAGAATGACTGTAAAAGGGCCTTGATATCTGCAGCACATCATCATCCTCTGTTGACAGATGAACAATTTGAGTTCATCATATGCAACACAGATGTTTTTCAAAGAATCTGAGTGAACCAGAACCATACCAGAGCCCTCTGGAAGGAGACCAGTCCGGCAGAACCACAGAACCACCTGAGCGTACTGGGAGATCAAGCTAGACACCATGCATTTATTCATGAGTCCAATCAACCCTGCAAGTAACCAAAAATAAGTCAGTCATTCTAGTGATTTTCAACTTCACATATAACAGCACAGAACAGTGTGATGTCACCTTTCTGTGTGAGCTCCTGAGCCTCATTTAGCAAACAGTGGAAAATGGTGCTGAGGTTTGCCAGCAAGCGCTGACTGTGCTGTAGCAGCTGCAGTGTCTGGGGATCCGTGAAGTTTGCAGAGCTGTCAAAGAGCGGAACACCTGGAGAAAAAGAGAAAAGCACAATCAGAACGCTGTTAAATTTGCAATAAAACCATATTCAGAGAAATGGGTGCAGAAAACTCACATATTTCATCCAGTTCTTCTTTGGTGCGCACAACCTTATTCCAGGCCCACTCCAGTATGTAGCGCAGATTGACGGCTGACCCTGGTTGCTCTTGTGTGCGGAAATTTGGCAGAAAGTTAAATGAAGTACTGGAGTGATGGCTGCTGAAAATTCAGCTTTGCCATCACAGGAATAAATTACATTTCAACAGAAAAGTTATTTTAAGTTGCAATACTAGTTCACAATATTACTGCTTTTATTGTATTTCTGATCCATTAAATGCTGATTTGGTGAGAATAAGAAACTTGAAAAAAAATGTTATAAATGAATAAATCAATGACTTACTACTTTTGAACAGCAGTGTAAATTATTGGTAATTAAAGTTTTTCTAGACTACAAATGCATTACTTCTCCTATTCTCACCTTCAGTGGTCCACTGTTTAATACAGCCAGTGATGAGCCCCAATGAGCTTGTCTCCACAGCAGTGCACAAAATGGCACCAAGCTGCTCTTCCTAAACACAAATTACAAAGTAATCAATGAAAAAATGTGAATCACTGGTATAAATACTCTGATACCAGTAGTTCTACACGTGAGTGAGATCTATTAAGCTAATAAGCAAACAAATAAAACTAATGTACATTTACTCCTGTATAATGTTAAATAAAGGGTGTGATACCTGTGAGAGGCTGGAGGGCTGGACATTAGCCAGACGAGAGGATAGGAGGCCAGACATGAGACAGCGTGAGTATCCATTAGAAATGCTGTCACCTAAACTTGGTGCCACCTTCTTCAAGTAGCTCAGGGTCTGAGAGTAGAGAAAGAGTTTAACGGACCAAAAATAATAAAGACTCAGCATAGTATACAAAAGGGCCAAAATCTAACCTCTTTCTGATAGCCAGAGCAAGTAAAGTGCACAATTCCAGCATTAAGCAAACAACTTCCATCTAGAATAGAAAAGGAATACAGAGGTTATGACACATTAAATGGGGTTACATAACAGCCATTACACATGCAATTAACGATCATATCAAAAAATGAACATGTCTTGCCAAAGTTGTAGGTTGTGGGATTGAAGAACTGTTCCGGTGGAGGACAGGTGTAGGGCAGACCCCTACTTAGACTGCGCTCATGAATCAGGATGTCCAACAGTGTACAGGGAGCTGTCATTTCGATCACACAGTCAAGAGACCACACTGCCAGATACGGACAGTTTCGTAAGGATTCACCCGTTCTGAATGGGAAAGAGAAAGTCTATTTACATGTCCCTCACCACACATCTGACTGTATTTTTAACCTTTACTAGAAGTATACCCACCTTAATGAATCTGGCATCTGAGCATGGTACCATCGGTTAATGTCAAAAACACCTATGAAGGTCAATGGCTGGCCTTGTCCATACGATTTAACTTGCCAGCTGAAAACTGACACACTTGTATCAGGAGACGTCACTAAAAAACAGAAAAACGAATGTTATAGAAAACATGCAATGTCAATCAATCACTCTGCAAAGCATGATTTGGATATATAAAGACACCTTCATTCATGCTGTCGTCACGATCAGGGTGGTGGCGAAACTTCTCTATGGTCTGACAGCTGATCAGACGGGTATTGATGGCCTGAGCTCTTAGAGGAAATGCTATACCGTTCAAGTCTTGACTGTAACGTTCCTCACAATACTCCAGACCCTGAGAGTCAAGCATCACACACTGAATGAATATTTTGCAGGAACATTGCATGGATACAAAAACTGTAACATTCAAATAGATTTGAGAATGGAGAATCCTGAATAACTCTGTACCTCATAAATAATTTTCCCTGAAGCCAAGCACTTTCTCTCCCCAAAAGCCAGTTGTAATAAATGGAGGCTGACTACATCCCCCTCACTGCAAAGACAAAAACACACCAGAATAAATCAGAACCAAACCCAGACATAGTCAGATTATTTCGATAGCAGCACATGAAACAGCAAACTTACTGATCCTGTGCAGACTGCACTGCCCACAGATAGCAGCAGTTCCGTGGGTCATTCTCTGGCTCCTGGAAGGTAAATGCATAGACAGGCACTCTGCCACCCTCTAGCTGTGAGTGATATCTGAAGAGCAAGAGGACATGTTCAGAAACAAATTCATTGGTGCATCAATACATTATAGCCGCAACAAAACAGAAGTAGTGACAGATCTTTTCTTCCATAATGTGACATGCATCTTGAGTAAAACAGATTACTGAAAAGGAAAAATGTAGGGTGGGGACTACTGATTGGATGGAGGCAGATCTGAATTTGAGCTTGCAGTGGTTTCTAAGAAAGTGTCAAGGTTTAAGCAGACTAAATGATTGGAAAAGTCTGGTATGTATAGGGTTGGGTACCGAAACCCGGTGCCAATATGGTATGTACTAGAACTAGGGATGCTCCGATCAGGATTTTTGCAGCCGATACTGAGTACCGATTTCTTGTCATGGTGATCGGCCGATACCGATGCCAATTCTGATGCTTCAAACTTTATACAGACTGTTTCATCGGGCGCACGCACCTGGCCCGAAATTAACTTCCGGTCTGTGTTTGTTTATCAGTCTGGCTATGGCGCCGGCTACAAACGCAGTTAAAGTTAAGGTGATGAGTAGACTGAAGTTGGGGTCAGGTGTTTGTGCTGTGGGATGTGTTTCCCATACATTTATTTATTTGTGGCACTCGCCACAATATCAAAACTGACAGATTTTCCAAAAGGCTTCACATGAGCACGTACTGCAGGTTTAAAAATCAAAACGAGGTGCGGGTGTTTTTATATCACTGTATTTCTGAAGGAAGACTAACTTTAGAACATTTTCGATGTCATTTTCATTTTGCTGCGGATAATCCGCGGTTCGGGTAATAAAAAAATGAATTCTGATTATTTGCGGGTGAGTCGCGGGTGGATAAAATAAATCATAAATGATGCAAATATTAACTACATTTAAAAAAAAATAATAATTTCAGGATAATAAAAATCTTAATTATTTCAAGAGGTCTTACAGCTGGGGACGGAAAGACAAGAGTCGCGATACGGCTGGATTAAACTTCAAAACTCAATGATGTCATTGAATAAATATGACCACTGCACGTTTCAAGTCAAAACGGATGTCTTTATTTGAATGTATCTGAAGTAGGGCTGTGCGATATTGAAGAAAAATGCGATATGCGATACCTTGTTAAAAATGTTATTTGAATGTATCTGAAGGGAACCGACTGTCCTCAGAAACGTGTCGTTGGCATTTTAATTTCATTTTACCTATAATTCCTGCTTTGTGAACAGCCGTTAATGGGGAAACCGCAATATTTCAGTGCTCCTAAAGTGCCACCTCGTGGCAGAGAATGAATTGGCATTTCCAATAAGCCTTTCTTTGTGATTATGGTCAGATCAATGCAAATATCAACTCACCCGAAGGGCTACCAGGGATTTTGTGAGCCCTGTTAAAGTACCGGTTCAGGCACTGGTACTGTTTCAAAAATATCGATTTAGCACCGGTATCGTAAAAAACCCAATCGATACCCAACCCTAGGTATGTATCAACAGAGAAAAGTCTGTCATTTTTACTGGAAGATGAAATGGCGTTATGAAATTGATTAAGAATTACAAGGTCAAAAAAAAAAAAAATTTGAATAGTTCACAATATAATCAACAACATGCATTTAGAAAACAGACAGGGTGAGTTTTCATTTCATGTCAAATTTAACATACAATTACATTAAAATGGGCAAAAAAAAGCTTGTTTTAAGTCTTTCACTCACTCTTTTTTGAGGGTCTTCATGTTCCAGAGCTGCAGATTGCCATCTGAAAAGCCCACAGCAAGCTGGTTGGTGCGCTGGATGTACTGCAGGGCTGTCGCTCCAGTACCCGTGGGGCTGCTGAGCTGAAGACACAGGTGTCTGTCCTGCTGCGTCACACCCTCCCGTAAACGTGGGATCTCAGACGGAGACTTATTGACCACCTCTAGATCTGTGGCCAAAAGAAATGAAAATGGTTTGAGACTATGGAAATGTTTATTACTGTTCACATGAAATCTTTTGCTAAAAAAAAACAATAGTCCCACCTGAAGCCTCCAGTTCGCTCTGACTACAGGACAGGTCATCTAAACAGAGATCAACCAGCAGTACATGACCGACGTCTGTGACCACAGCAGCCACACCGAAGAACCAGCGCAAACTCTGGTGCAGATGCTGCGTGTTAGCGCTGGCCCCTCCGTAACTAACAAGGGGGTCAATGGCTGTGATCTGCAGAAAAAGCAGTTGTTCTTTTCAATCACATGATCATTCATAGTAGTGTCATTATAAAACAACAGATGTGGAATAATTACAAGATTACAGCCAGGATGCATTTTGAGAAATCAATTACATAATCAAATTACATAATAAACCTGTTTACGCTCAGGTTTATTGTAGTTAGCTAAAACCATAAAAAAAATCCTTATTACAATAGTCCCACCTGAAGCCTCCAGTTCGCTCTGACTACAGGACAGGTCATCTAAACAGAGATCAACCAGCAGTACATGACCGACGTCTGTGACCACAGCAGCCACACCGAAGAACCAGCGCAAACTCTGGTGCAGATGCTGCGTGTTAGCGCTGGCCCCTCCGTAACTAACAAGGGGGTCAATGGCTGTGATCTGCAGAAAAAGCAGTTGTTCTTTTCAATCACATGATCATTCATAGTAGTGTCATTATAAAACAACAGATGTGGAATAATTACAAGATTACAGCCAGGATGCATTTTGAGAAATCAATTACATAATCAAATTACATAATAAACCTGTTTACGCTCAGGTTTATTGTAGTTAGCTAAAACCATAAAAAAAATCCTTATTTGAAATAAAATTGAAGTGTTAACTGAAATAAATATGAAAACACAAACTTAATTTTAGCAACATTTCTCATTTTAATTTAGTTTAACTTAAACTACAAAAATAACTAAAACTAAATAAATAATTAAAAAATAAACAAGAACAAAAAAGATCTATAAACTGAAAATGAAAACAGAAAATATAACAATATATATTTGAAATATCAATACACACTATAATTTTATCTCAATTATACTAAAAAAAACAAACAAAAAAAAACAATGCGCTCACTCTGCCTGGGATGACCACAGCCTTGACAACACGTGAGATACCAAGATCATACAGACACAACATGCTGCTCTCGGCTTCCTCCAGACCGATGAGCAGCCCTGTTCGCTTCAGCCAACAGAAGTCCCGCACGGCCAGCACTGTGGGCGGGTGCTCGGACACCCCGCTGAAGCGGTAGGCAGAGACACGCTCTCCAGTAACAGTATGGACCACTTCCAATTGAGGCCCGCAGGCAAGCCAGGCCAGTCCATTTTTCCCTGCACCCAATAAATAAGAGATGTCAGTGAAACACAAGAGGAGAACTGAAGATCTAATAGTAACCTAGGCAACATACATGAAACATCTAAAACATGACATTGGTGATGATCAGGACATGCCATCAGTGAAAAACAAGACTCACCAACAGTAAATCTCCCATGCAGCACAGAGTCCAGCGTAACTTCATCCTCCCCTAGAGCGTCTATCGTCACCTCTGGGAAGCGCAGCAAGCTGCTGGTGACTTGGGCTGCCAGGTCACGCATGCTTACTGAAGAGAAAACACATGGTAAAAATCAATCTGCCTGCCCTGAAACATAAAGCAAACAATATAATCTAAAAAACTGAACACAAACAGAATGTTTCGAACTAGTACAAAAATCATGCTGAAATATCACTGATAACATTATGGACAAAGAAGAACTTCATACACAACAGCAGTTGTCAGCACTTTTGTGCCTCCAATGGAGCAGTTGGCACATACATATCCACCACACTTGTGTTTCCTCCAAACATACAATAAAACAGTGATTATCAATTTCAACTGGTGGGTCTGTTCAGATGAGCGTATGGACAGTCAGCCATGGAAATAAACTACTATAATGTGAAAATAAAGAACAACTGTTAATTTAATTGTGAAAATGAAAAAGTGAAAAGTGAAAGTGACGTGACATGCGGCCAAGTATGGTGACCCATACTCGGAATTAGTGCTCTGCATTTATCCCATCCAAAGTGCACACACACATCAGTGAACACACACACACCGTGAACACACACCCGGAGCAGTGGGCAGCCATTTTTTGCTGCGGCGCCCGGGAAGCAGTTGGGGGTGCCGCAGTGCCTTGCTCTGAGGGGTTCGGTGCCTTGCTCAAAGGCGCCTCAGTCGTGGTATTGAAGGTGGGAGAGAGCGCTGTACATTCACTCCCCCCACCTACAAACCCTGCCGGTACGAGACTCGAACCCACAACCTTTGGGTACGAGTCCGACTCTCTAACCATTAGGCCACGACTTCCCCTAGTGAGTGATTAGGTGCATAGTTAGGATACATTAAAAGGCTGTACACCCAATCATGCCTTATTCCCAACATGTTGATATTATTATTAATCTGGTAGTGCTACTATTTTTAATAAAACCTATTAAAAACTGTTGTCTGTAATTGACAAAGCTGAAATAAAAATACATCTATAATAAACTAAGGATATTAGAAAATTAATAAAACAGAAATAAAAAGCTATATAGAAATATTTTTTAAAATAATGAATAAAAACGACAAGCACATAATACTAAAATAACACTGTTTGGTAAAAATCCAATACACCAACATGGATAGTTCGCATGACTTCATTCTCAAAAATCACTCACCACAATTATAAAAAAGGTAAAAGAAAATACATACATTAAACACAGGACAGACGCTTAAAGATAAACATGGTACTTTGTACTGTACCAACCAAAATTAATTTTGTGCAGTGAACTATTCAAAATATTAAAAACTTATACTTGTAAATCCTTTTGCAGTTTATGGTAATATTTGGACATTTTAATGTCTGGCTTTTTTAATAAGCAATGCTTCTTATGTTTTCTGTTTCTTATAGATCATTTCCATATTTTATGCAGTTAAAAAATAAAATCAGTCTATAATATTCTAATTGAACTGGCGTTAATGAATTTCTATAAAATGCATATTTATTCATAACAAAAATAAAAATCTCAAAACCCTTTAAAAAACATTCACAAAAAATAATTTAGTTTTGATTATCCTAGTATAGTCTACCAAGATGTTTACATATATTTTATGTTTACCAGCTTTAAGATGTGGTACAGGCATGATAACACTATCTTGTAAAAACACATACTGTGGCTCTCATAAGTTAAACTTTAAGTCTGAATTACATGATTACGTCTAGACTAGAGAAAGATTTCCCACAAGGACAACTACTTTACTCTAGTGAAACGACAACATGCATGACATTTCAAACCATCTAAACATAATTCGCTGACGGTAGTAAGATATTATAAAAAGCTATAATGTTTTAACGAAAGTAATTAAGTTTGCCGGAGTCCCTGGATCGGCTGACAGTCGGGATCTGTAAAATTACAAAACCCTTGGTTCATGCAATAGTGCCTCCTGGAAAAGCATGGTCATCTAATGCAAACAGCCTATAGGACTCACCCATGTGCCCGCGCAGACTACAGTCCCACCCATGCGTGAGACTCACATGGAGAAATCTGATTTGAAATCAGAGCTCACAGCTCAGTTTTATTCATAATACTTACTAGGCGAAGTACACAAACACAGTACAAACATGCGTCTGCGGTCATATTTGTTTCTAAATATCACTTTATATATGATCAATCTGACGTTATGCAGCGTCATTACATGCACGCACTGTCACTTAAAATCTTCGTAGACGAGCCATAATATCCATTCAAATACATTCAAATTATCACTGACAAATACCGCTTCTTTTCCAAGCAAAACAAAAGCGTCCATTCTCTTGCATAGTTTACATAAAACACTACTGTATGGTCTGTATTATTATAACAACCTTTCCTGGAAACTGTTTTCAACCACAGCACGTCAGTAGCACCGCTAGCGTGAACTGTTACTGTTACCAACAGAGCATATAAAAACAAACAAGAGACTCAAAATACATCGACGACAGGCCAACAAAAAGTTTAAAAAGCTTAGTGCGATGTGTAATAAAACAGAGCGGGTAAAAAATCTCGTACAGAGCCGTGTTGTTGCGTGAGGTGAGCCCACGCAGGCGATTACCATGAGCCCTTCAGATTAGCCGCACAAGCTAACGGTCACAGCACGAGACTAACTCACAATAGCTTTTAATAGTAAACAATCCACATAAATGAGTGCTAAATGGTCTTGAGCTGTAGAAACACATAAATTGCTCTAGAATATCCTAATGTGACACATATAGCTAAAAAATTACCACAGACAACAGCGTTGTACCTGCACGCTGATGATGACGGCCCTCAAGAAAACTGGATATACGTTAATTCAAACACGACTTTGGTGGCAACTCTTTTCCGGACATAATCCGGACTCGGTTCGCATGGATAAACTCTCGTAGTCTAGTAATGCTGAACTGAACAGTCGCAAAGAGAAAACGTGAATTCCCGTGAGTTCAGTGTAAATCGTTATAACTGCCGACTACTGCTGCTTGAACGCAGGCGCCATTTCCATAGCGCTGCAGAACGACTACTGCGCATTCATCTGCTCCAGCCAAATCCCGCGCCACAACGAGTATCGCGAGATTTCAAGCAGCTGCCCTTGACCAGGGAAATTACGGGGGTTTTCATATCCTGTCTGCAAAATTGTTATTGCAGTCACTTATTAAAAGATGTGAGAGCGTCTTTCATAATCACGAGACCACATCTGTGTAAATGATAACATTTTGATGTGATTTGTCTGTTGTTTGTTTCACTAATATTGAATCCTAAAGTGATATTAATTATTACACTCATAAATCATAATTAAATAACTGGCCGAGTATATCTTTATAAAAATAAATACTACCTCTTCTAATAATAATACAACTGTGTGCACTTCAAGAGGACACATAAAACATAGTAACTAATAACTATGCAATTCAAATAGCCTAGTTTCATGTCATAATTATAACCTAATCTTTACCTAGTGATTTAAAAAAATGGGCTCATCACAGTTGCTCCGTTTTTGTAGTAATCATTAATATATTGTGCTTGTAAACGAAACAGTAATTAAAGGGGTCATATGATGCTGCTAAAAATAACATTATTTTGTGTATTTGGTGTAATGAAATGTGTTTATGCGGTTTAAAGTTAAAAAAACACATTATTTTCCACATACTGTACATTATTGTTTCTCCTCTATGCCCAGGAAAAAATGAAATCGCATCATATGACCCCTTTAAGATGTTAGAAGCTGCTTAGTGCCTCTTTGACCACTAGCTGTCAGTCTACACTCTACACTAACATGTCTCATTTGCAAACACATACCCTTACGAAAATGAACCATGGTTTTATTATAGTAAAAGTGTAGTATTCCCCCACACATCCTATCTCTTCCCCATCACTGGACTGTCAAAGTGAATAAATATGAATCACTGGAAGGATGAACTAACGCGTCCATCACAACAGTGTTTATAGTAAGCTTTACAATGAGGGATATGTGTGCACGTGTTTATGTGTTTAAATCATTATTCAAATGATATCTGATGTACAAATGCATTCAGACTATCACAAAAAGCCAGTGAGTCAGAGAGCCTTTGGAGTTGCTGTCAGCGTTTGTTAATGAGTTGTGGCTGAACGACGCTGGAGACGGTGTGTGTACAGAAGCGTGAACAGGGGATGCGAGATGTAAAGAGGGCGATGAGGAGGTGGGCTGCCTGGGAGTTGATGAAGAACAGGCCAGCGGAGGGCTGTGACTCAGAAGAGAGGGTGGTGAGAGTGGGTGTCAATCGCTGAATAATGATCCAGTTCAATCAGCACCTGCGCTGAAGAGCAAATTATGTATCAAAGAATTGTCACATCCCATCTGCTTCACACGCTAAATAAGGTTACCGAGCACAGGTGAAATTTCTGCCTGAGAGAGCGGGAGCGAGTAGAAATCGCTGGTAGATATTCAGTTAAGAATATTAACAAAAATGAATTTGCTTTTGCGTTTAAAGAGACTGTAAAATGAATTCATGTGGAGTTTTGTGGCTTTTAGTCCTTGTGTGTAATTGTTGAGGCCATCTATGTACCTCAGAACGTTCTGGTGGTTGTCTTAAAGGTCTGGACTTAACTGTAATGTTAAAAGAATGTTCATTCAAAGTTACTTAATAATGTTCTTAGTTAAAACGTTAGTGCAAAAACATTGTTTATTAAACCTGTTTCTAAAATTTAATGTTTGCAAAAAATTAAATGTAACATTCCCCTTGTCTTGAACATTCACAAAATGTTCAGAAATAATGTTTTTATAACTCAGTGAGAACGATCAAAACGTTCTTAAAGGGGTCATATCATGCGATTTCAATTTTTCCTTTCTTTTTGGAGTGTTACAAGCTCTTGGTGCATAAAGATTCCTTTAAGAACATATTTTTTGTTAGCTGGGCATAAAAGTAAAACTTTAAAAAAGTAAAACGTATATACAGATATGCATTTAAAAATGACAGGCTTAACAATATTGATTCATCTTGCACTCATGACCAATAAACTGCTTACTTTAATGAGAATATTTTTATTTTAAATACCACCTGCTTTTGATTAGAAAGTTACAAATAGTTTATCATGCAAAAAATAACTTTTTTTGGTTTTATTTTGGTTTTAATTAGTAACATTTTTTAGCTTATACCTTTTTACTTGTTTTCCTGAAAAAAAAATCTAAAATCAACAAAATAAATGAACTATACCATATAAAATATGATTATATTATATAATATGAATATTAAAATAAGTTATTCATATAAATCATTTTATTCATAGATTGTATTTTGAATATAAGCAAACATACTTATATGTTTCTAAACTTTTAATTTGTGCATCATTGCATGTCAAATATCTTGTTTTAAATATCATTACATTTCCATTTACTCGCATCATATTACATGTTACTTTCCAACTTAAAATACTTGGTTCACAAAAACCAATGGTGCTGCCAAAGGGTGAGCGAAAATACAATATTTTAAGAGTCTAGTTACTCATTAAGAATAAGATGTTTTTACAGAGTGGCTGTGATGTAAATTAAGCCTGTTGGCTATTTAAAAACCAACAATTTTCAAAAGGAAATTTGTCAACAATTTGTCAACAATATGTTTTTATTCTATTTTAATTCTACTTTATCTATATTTATCTTTTTTATTTTGTTGCTCTTTTGTTAGTTTTGACTGCTTTTATTGTCCTCATTTGTAAGTCGCTTTGGATAAAAGCGTCTGCTAAATGACTAAATGTAAATGTAAATGTCAACACAAAGGAAGCTGTGCTTTTGTCAAGGGATTTCAGAGGCTCTTTAAAGGCTTTTTATGATGTCCAATCAGTCTCCAGAAATGAAAATGGAACCACTTGATTATTGTACTTGTATGAACTCGTTCAGCATCCTCTAGACACCGTTTTCTAACTCAGCAGTGTAAAATACTGTATCAGTGTACATCTAGAAGTCACTGATGCATATCTGCCAAATGCATTTCCACAAATGGGGCAGAAGAAAATCATCAAACGATTGCAGAGCTGTAGAGAAGCACGTCTCAGATAAGAGCAGAAAGATATTGCAGTCTTGGCTGACGGTGCTTTCATGTGTGTTTTGCTTTTGAGGTTGATAAATGTGCCATGTGAAAGTCAGGACTCGGGCTACGCTTGAGAACATCTCTTTCAGCTTGGACAGCAGAGGACATTATCTCCATCTGATGAGAACAGAGAACAGCATTGTGCTTCTTCTCCACAACAAAGAGAAAAACAAAAATGGATTTATATTTCTGGATTTCTATTTTGGTTGATTTGGTTGTTTAACGTAACTAGTTTAGTATCACAAGTGAGACCATGTTTCTTGACCAGCATCACTGCAGTTATGCTAATATTTTGAACTCTGTAACATGAATATGCTCTTGTTGTAAGAAGTATTTCTGTAAGTAGGGTGTTTTCAGACTTTCAGAAAGGAACAGAAATACAATATTTAATAACATTTCTGAAAAGAAATAAAACACAGAGCTGAAATTAGTCATTTCTCAGTGAGGGACTGAAAATTGGCGTGTAGGAGGGTCATTTATAACATTTTTAAAGCTTTGCAATTGAAAGAATGCAATTTTATCAAATGTGTTAATGTTTTCAGATGAGACAAACCATCTAATAGCCACAAAAATCAAAGAATTCATCAAATCTAAAACTTACTGATCTTTGTGCTGTTTTCCCACCAAAATGATGTCACTTCCTGGACAGTGATGTCATTAAAGAATTGGCTTTTAATCATTTAAGGGAAATTGCAAAAAAGACAGCCAATCAGATTACCAATTATTCTCAATGAAAAACTTTTTTTTTTTATTTCAGCCAAAATTATTAGTTTTTTTTTCTTCTAATTATATTTATGGTTTGGTTTAAACCTTACATTTTTACTCTATATAATTCAACAGTATTTCATTTCCCAAGGTCAAAATCATTCATACAATGTAAAAAAATAAAAATAAAGATTATTTAATATAACAACCAATCATTATATTTTCTTTAATCACAGGGCAAAATGTTAGCTAATGTAGGTCAATATAATATATATTTTTATAATTTGGCTTTTAACTACTTAATTTCACAGTAAACAAAAGCTAAATTAGCTGTAATATGACATAATTTCTCACTTAGGATAAAAATAAAAACATTTTGTGAGTCAATGTTTAATTTAGTTTACTATAAATAAAAACTTCAAAAGACCTTAAAGTTAACTGTGATGATTTTTTAAATATGCATATTTTCTGTTATGTACATACAAGAAAAAATACCTGATGAATAAACCCATAATAATTAATGCAGTCAGTAAAGCTATAGCCAGAAAATACTATTTAAACTTTTTTTTCTATGGGAAGTGTTTTTTGCTTTTAGACAAACTGACGTAAACAATGATTTTCAATTACAATTCAATAAAAAAAAAAAACATTTGACACCATTTCAGTTCTTTTTTAGTAAAAGAAAACGTAAAAAAAAAAAAACATTCTTAGTATTTTATGGTTTTATGTTAGAAATTAGTGCACCACACAAGCAACATCTGTTCAAAATTCACCCCATGTGCACATAATTGAGCTGTTAAATAAATATAATTTTATACATAATTAATTTGTAATAAAACTAATGTTTTTTAATTACCGGTATAAGTTTAATATTTTAACCAATTGTAATGAGGACGCTGACGCGGAGTCTGAATCCATGTGCGGGAGTTTATTGAGGACAGTTTCAGTGAACAGGAACGTCAAGGCAGGCAGAAGGTCGAAACCAGAATGACAATCCAATGTAACACCACTTACAGGGGCAATCCAGAAGGCTAAAGTGAACAGGCAGGCAAAAGGTCCAAACACACACATCCGTCCGATCAGGCAAACTAAGCAAGGGGAATAATCCAGGTAACGTTAGGTCGGTAAACAGGCAGAATCATACACTGAACAGGCAATCAGAATCACAATAGAGAACGCTTGGTAAGGCAGGTTTAACTGGCAATACTTCGCGATGAGCATGAGCAGTCTCTGGCTATAAAGGAACCAAAC